TCTAAAATTTACAAGGACAATTTCATACTTCTAGGTGGCCCAGCTGGAGTTTTAGAAGAAGTGGCCGGCTGTTTCTCAGCCGCCGCATGTTTCCTAACAGAACCAGGAGAGCTCGCAACAGTCGTCCTCCGGGCCTTGGGGTCCGGCTGTTGGGAAGAAGAAGCTCTTGGAGCGCCCGTCTAAAAAAGAAGAAAAGAGTCAGTATATGCATAAACACAACTCCAAAAAGAGAGTGAAAGGTTCGAAGCCCACCAAGGGTACCCCCTTGTTGGGGGAGTCGGTTGAAGACTGTTGCATGATGGAGGCCCGCAACATGGCCGCCGCAGTCTTGGAGGCGGTAATTTTGCTCATGGCGTCCGCTGCAAAAACAAATAGCAAAGTTAATAAAAGTCATAACAAGAAATGCACGGAACAGCAGAGTATTCGACAGGCCGGCTACCTCTTGAGCACCGACTGCTGAGGCCACAGGCGGCCAAAAAGTACTCGTCGTAGAGCCATTTGAAGCTCGGGACGCAGTGCAGGGGTACTTGCTCTCGTACCCTTGAAGTAGAGTTCACCTTCGACTCTACTTTGAAGAGTCCTTTATCTAGGATCTCTTTCTTAGCCTTGGGGGGAACAGGCGGCATGCTGCGGCCGCCTGCAAGAAGGGGCGGATTCCTGTTCCACCTGTTGAAGCGCTTGTTCAGCTCTGTGTCTGAACTCTCAATGATGAGGAAGGTGCTCCGCCAGTCCTTCCATTTGTTTGCTTTACCTCTCGTCATGAGGTAGCCCCTGTGGCTCGTCAATTGATACCAGCCGGTACCGCCTGCCTTAGGGGTCCGGCTGAGGTAGTTCATGTGGGCGAAAGCCTCGAAGCTCGGCTCCACCCCGTGCAGTTTGCACCCGGCCACATAGCCGAGTACGTTGACCCAGGAGTTCAGGGCTAACTGCCATAACCCCAACTCATACCCATCCAAGATCCGCTGAACAGCTGGATGTAGTGGGAAGCGCAGCCCAGCCTTGATGGCCGCCTCGTAGCAGTCAAAGCAGGCGCCATCATAACTAGTACCAGCCGGCCATACGACTGTGTCTTCTGGATCCGGCACGAACACTAAAAAGCCGGGGCCCATTGTGTGGTTTGCGATAAAGCTCTCCACTTTCTCTTGCATGGCCGTGATCCGGCCCCGAGGTACCGTGCAGTAGTAGGGGGTATTTTGCTCTCGGTGAGAGGCGGATGGCTCCGCCCAATCGTCCCCCTTCTCAACTGCGTGAGAAAGTCTCGCCTCTTGTAGGCGACTGTTTTTCTCTTCTGTGTCCAGGGAAGCATGGCCAGAAGAGCTAGACTCGGAATCGTCCTCTGACGAGTCCGAAGAGGACGACTCTTCCCCTCTCCCGGAGGGGCCCGCCTCCTCTCCTTTAAAAGGAGCAGGAGAGAATGTAGAATTGTCAACTGTAAAATGGGAAGGGGTCACTTTGACTCCTCCCTCAGAACTGCCGGCTTTCAAGCCGCTTTGTTTCACTTCCACATCTGGCGCCTGGTCAGATGTTTCACTAATCGGCACCCTGTGGGAGGAGCCGTCTGAGTTTGAGATCCTGGCAGTCTTTTTTGTTCTGGCCATCATGCTCTGCATAGACACAGATACAGTCGGACTTTGTATAAAGGGCAAAGATGGGTCCAGAAAAGGGCAGGCGGCACTCCTAGTCCTAGATTCAGCCGTCCCCGGTGACCGGCTGATCACTAACCTAGGTCGTGTCGTGTGCTTCTGTGGTGCCATTTCAAAAAAGAATAAAGTAAAGAGAAAATTAAGAGTAAGAGAACCGACGGTTACCTGAACGAGTGACGATTGATGAAGTTCTGAAAATCCTTTGCAGTCGGCTTGTCAGAGCAGGCGGTAGGCAGAAAGGGTCCAAAATGTCAGAGCAAGTTCAGGGGTCCGAATGTTCTCTCACAAAGTTTTCAAGTGTGAAAATGACCGAAGTCAACACTCCTTTATATAGGCGAAGTGAGAAGGCGAAGGGTCACTTCCAGAATTCAAAATTTTGGCGGGAGAATCTCTCGGCCTCTCGCCGAGTGACACCTGTAGCAGGTCGTCGCCTGTTACAGGGCGATACCTGTCACAGGTAACACCTGACCAGTCACGTGCCACCTGTGAGGGGCAAATGATTAGGGGATTTTTCCCCACCAATCACCATCTGACAAGTGGACCAATCAGGTTCCGCCATGTGTCCGTCACATGGGCCAATAGGAGCCTGCCACGTGTCAAGCAATGATCCGTCCACTATGGACCAATTACGACACGACACGTGTCCTTCCCATGACACCTGGGATAACCGGTCACCTACGCCCAACTTCCGAGGGAAGCCCAATCAGCCCAAGGTTAACCTAAACCTAGATTGACACGTTTCCCGAGGTTATAAATACCTCCCTTAATCCTCATTAAGGGAGATTCCACACAAAAAACGCAGATTACACACATTAAACACTCTCACCTAGAGAGACCCAATCACTTTAATTTCCGCATTAATTACTCCTTAATCAAGTACTAACTTGACCGTCGGAGGCGGATCTTCAATCATCCGGAGCATCCGTTTGTTTTGCAGGTACAGGCGTCCGGTTCCAGTCTCGGAATTGTAACTCTCCCGCAGGACATCAGAAAACCCCGAAACAAGTATTATGCTCATTATTATTTATACACTATTGCTCTTGTAACTACTGTTTAATGGTAATTTGTAGTTTATTTTAATTTATGTTCATAATTTGTAGGTCATATGTTCATTGTAGCTATATATATATATGTGTGTGTATTTTTAATTTTTTTTTCCTTTTTTTTTCTTTTGGGTACAAATCTTAGGTTCATAGCTTAAAGTTAAGATATTTCTCAAAAAACAAAAACTTTATGTTATGATATACTTCATATATAATGAGAACAATTAGTATGTACATGTTCATTATTTTCAATAAGTTGTATGTTCATTTTAGTTCTTTTTTCATATATGTTATTAATTTATAATATGATTTGATCATAAACTATGTATGTTTGTTTATAATAAATATTATGTTCATTATCACTAATATTACATTTACTAATTGTAGTATAATGCGGCTTGCAACAATCATGACGACATTGAATCCTTATACGTCAAATATTGTACTCGAATTAATATAGGAAAAGGAAGATTCAAGGTTGAAGATATAGACAACATGATAAAATGTAATTCACTTTAAATTTTACAAATGCAATGCCTACAAGGCTGTTCTATGTAGAAATATGTCAATTTTTCATTTGATAAATAATTATTGGGAAATTCTCAACGACGACTCCCAACAATTGCTACGTACCAACGGCAACCCCCTTTTTTTGGATTATACAAAATGACACTATTTTTCTTTTTTCTCCTAAAGATGACATTAATGAGGGTATTTTAACATAAAATAGTCAATTAAAATTAACTATGGTTAGTTTTTTTTTTTAAAAGAAAAAAAGAAAAAAAATGAAATCACCCTTTCCCCTTACCCTCCTCCTTCCTAGCTAGCACAGCCCCTTTACCGACAAAGAACCCAGCCCACACCCGCCTCCCACCACCTGCCGGCGGCCCCACTCTCACACACCAGCCCACACAACCACACAATCCCACCTCACCTTGCCACCATTTTGCAACCGCAAACCTCCACCACTCACTCGCTGTCATTCAACAAACGCACCACCTCACAAATCCACGCAGCCAATCACCTCTCTCCCCAAGCACTGCAACACCCTCAACTCACATCGTGGCAGCCGTAAAACAGAGCCACCAGCCCAACACACCCACCCAATCAACAACCACGAAACGTCACCGCGCGCCCAGCCCGACACACCCACGTACCCAGCAACCATGAACCCACAAACCCACTCAAATTTCGCACCATCACCAACCATTCATCATCACCGCTCGATCGTCACCATCACCAACTATTTCGCACCATCTAGGTATTGAATTGGAGCATCAATTGAAGTCCTTGCTGCGATTGGTGACCGAAATTGTAGTAATTGACGGTCGAATTGTGGTTGTTGATGGTAGATTGGAGCAATCGGTTGCTGGCCGAGTGAGGGAGAAATTAATGTTGCTGGCTTGCGGTTTGATTGATGTTGTTGCGGTGCTGCAGGGGCTGAATTGCTTGTTGGTTGCTCGCTGCTGCTTGCGTTGTGAAGAGAGGTTGCGGGCTTCAGTGGTGATGCGCAATTGTTGTGTGTTGTTGGTGAATTGAGAGAGAGCAGGGGAGGCGAGCAGAAGCTGCTAGTATCGGGCTGTTGTTGACAGAATTGGTGGTTGTAGCGGTGGAATGGTGGCTGTAGCGTGTGTGGGTGCGTGGCTGGTGCTATGTTGTTAGTGTGATGGGAGAATTCTCGGCCTTGATGTCGCCGGAGAAGGAGAAGTGGAGGTGGCGATGGGGAGGGGAAGGGGCTCTGATTTTTTTTCTTTTAATTATTAAATTTTTTTTTATAAATAAAATCTGTCAAATAAAAGGGGGCATTTCTGTCATTTCGCTATTTTGGTTAACCATGGTTTAATTTTATGTTAAAACAACATCATTAATGTCATCATTAGGAGAATCAAGATAACTAAGGTCATTTCGTATAATCCAAAAAAAAGGAGGTTACCGTAGGTGCGTAGCAATTGCTGGGGTCGCCGTTGAGAATTTCCCATTATTTATATTATGTAATAAAAATTTTTTTTTACTAATTCTTATTGAAAATAAAACAAATGATGTTAATGAGTTGATCAAAATATATTATTGGACAAATACCATTCGTATAAATAACATTTAGAATCATATATATGCAATATATTCATTTCTAAATATGTAAATGTTCATTTCTAAATCCATAAATGTTCATTTTCAAATCAGTTAATTGACAAAACTTCCTAAACAGGACAAAATGACATCGTTTTGTAGTGAAACCAGCCAGGACTCGGGTCTACCTAAAAATTTGCTATTTAATCTAGTATAGTAACTAAAAATTTATTTTAGGCCCACGAAAGTCATCCCAATTAGCAAATCATTAATATCAACCCTTGAAAATCAAAATCAATTCAATGATTACAATAATATTCAAGAACTTTTAACCGCCAGAGAGAGAGAGAGAGAGGCAGTGAGGAGAGTCACAACAGCAATCAGGATCACATGAGAAGACAACGTACAAAAAATCATATTTATCTAAAGTTTGGGGTATATATCATTCAGGATCTTGATCCAGTCTCATTTGTACAATTTTTTTTCCCAGATTGCTAGGAATTTCCCTCAAACTTTAGGCAACATGCTATTTTGCCACACTCTATTCCATCAGAAAGAGCAATTTCATGAGTGAAAAGCCATTGCTGATCCATGATCACTATTTCTCCTATTCACCACTTCTTGACAAACTTGGTCTTGGCAACTGTGGACCTATAGGCTTCTGAAGCGGCTTCAATGCAGCCATGATCTCAGTAAAAGTAGGTCGCAATTTTGGATCTCTGGAACATTGAGTTCACATAAAATTAGTTTGTATAGCAAAACGAATAAGAAACAAAATTTAATGGCATAACTGGAAGTGAATTTCAGACGCAGCCTGATTAGTGGTTCATGTTAAACCATTTCTTTCTTTTATAGAAGAGCTTCCACAGATCAACTTCAATCGTCATTATTAAGATAACACACTCAAGCGTATCCTAAGTACTGTAAATTATGTTTTTGTTCAAAAATATTTCCAGGGGAAATCTATACCATGAACAAAAAATTCCTTTATACCACTCTCCAACTTTACCAAGGCAGAAAAAGGACACAAAAAGTTTGTATATAACTAAAAAAGCTTCAAGGTGCATTTGACAAAGTATTAGAGCTGAAGCAAAAGCAATGAACCTTGAACATAGGAGAAGCGAATGAGAAATGATCACAAAAAAGATCAACCAAACAGGGTTCAACTCAGCTCATATCAATCCATGGTTGATCAACCAGCAATTTTTTTTTTTTTTTTTTTTTTTTTTTTTTTTTTTTTGCAGTCTTATCGGGTTTAGGGATGCAAAATCATATTCTAAGACACTAATATCAACCTCCTCCACTTCTATCCCAAAAAAAAAAGTGCATTTCTAAATATTATAGCTCCTACACACTCCTAGCCAGGGCCCTATCATTTCAAAAACATCAGAACTAATATCAGTACTACCACCATGTAAATAACTCTCTAGATTAAACATTTATAAAACACACAATATAGCTTTTAAACAACAAATCATGAATCGAAGTCCCTCACTTCATTGTGGAGCATCTATTTGAAGATTCAGTATTAAGTTTTTGTTTGAAAATGATTCCAGGGAGCTAGGGATGCAGTATTAGGTTTTTCAATAAACAAGAGAGGAAATTTAGTGCATCTTTTATCTATTTATTGAAATTCACTTAACATTTTGACACACGTAAGCAAATGAAAGACAGCTAATCAAGTAATCAAATGCAATCAGATAATAGTGGTAATTGGAGCTTTGGAATAACGCAACCAGAATAAGTAGCAAGTAAATCAAAGATAAGCAAAAAAATTATAACTAAATTATAAAACCTCCAAATAAATGAAGAATGCTTCAGTAAAAGCAAAATAATTGCAATCATATACTCACGTTTGCCAACATTTACGAATGATATCAGCAATTGCAGGATCAATATCATCTGGAATGTCCAAACGCCGATGCTGAAAGCCAACGGCACCAACCACCTGCATAGGATTCATGCCTCCCCATGGCTGCTGGAGAGTGCAAAGCTCCCAAAGTATAACTCCAAAGCTATATACATCGCACCTACGAGTATTAAGTCATTAGATGATGGATTAAATCTTATAAGTACTATACCTTCAAAAAATTTGTCAATGTGAAGAGGAAAAAGAAATAAATTAGGGAACATGAATTCTTAAAAATTACGCATATTATTTTCTCAAAAGGTCCAAGTGAGAAAAATTAATACAATTATAAACAGATTAGTAAAATTAAGAATTGAGACTGGGATAGATAAAAAACAATGTGCTAAACTAAAGGTGCATATTAAAGGTTTTCGAATTATTTTTAAGACACAGGACATACTTTTCATCAGACGGTTCATTTCGAAGCACTTCTGGAGCCATCCATTCAGCCTGCAGCAAGTAAATACATTTCAATTAACTCTTTGCATACCAAGTTCACAAGAAATGTGTGAGTGATGCAGCAAATGCATGTGATGAATAAAAGAATACCAAAACAGCAAACATATGAAAGAGAATGACCACGCTGAGAAATATTGAATGATAATATACATTGGCAGGTCCAAAAAACAAGGGTACTGGCCAGGACACATAGCCACACACAAATCATTTCACATGTGTTTTGTCCAAGAACAATGCAATTTCCAAAGAATATTAGGTACGGGCAAGTGCAGCACCTAGGAGGTAGGCCTAAAAACTAACATACACGATTACCTGAATGGAATCAGTCAGCCAACATCTGAACTATAACCAAAACCTGAATTGATACCAGAGGTCCGTGCCTGATTGATAAGCCTTCTTATCATGGGTTGAGAGAAGCATTTTAGGGTGTGTTTTGATGCTTTATATGTACTTTTGTTAGCTTTTGTGAGTTTTGGGCTGTGATCTCACTTATGTGCAAAAGGCGGGATTTATGAGTATAAGTGAGTGAGTGAGCTCGGGAACCAATGAAGAGTTATGTAAGAAGGATGGACCTTGGCTCGTGATTTGAGAGTTGTGATGGAGCATGGAAGAGCAAGGAAGAAAGCTTGAGGAAAAGGTGAAGCAAAGCAAGAAGAAGAAGCAAGGAAAGAAGGCGAAAACAGCAGGAACCGCTGCCAGGGCCGCTGGCAGCTGGCCAGAGCCGCTGGCAGCGGGTATACCAGAGTGAGGGGCTGCCAGAGCAGCTGCCAGCGGGTCCAGAGCAGCTGGCAGCGGCTCTGGCAGAAATTCGGGCTGTTTTGGTTAATTTTCAGCAATTTGGCTTTGTTTTGGCTCGTGTTTTGGATATTATTTTATTATTATTATTGTGTTATGTTATTAAAATATAGAAACATATAAATAGCTTAGTTTTAATTAAGTTTGAAGGGAGAAGAGAGGAGAATTAAGTTTGGAGAAAAAAAGCTTTCTAGGGTTTTCTTGGAATTTTCAGAATTCTTTGTTTTGGAATTAGAATCCATGGAAGCTTAATCTTCCGGATTCTTGGTTAAAGATTGAAGCTTTTAGCTACGAATTGTGAGATCTTTCTTCTCTTAATATCTATTGAATATATATTGTTCCTTGAATTAATTTCATGATTTGCTTTAATCAATTGCTAGGTTAGAATTATTGGATTCGCTTGCATCTAATTAATCTTTCCAAAGTAGCAACTTTAGGTTATTGATGCATGCTTTTGGTTGATAACTTGAAGAGGGAATAATATTATTGAAGAAATTAGACCGCTTGTGTTAATTTATTCAATCCTTGTTGATTTCTCCGTTTATTTTCTTCTTGTGGATAATTTAGAGCGCTTGTATTGAATTGTGCATTGGAAAGGGTTAGAAAGGAGCGCTTTGCTATTTCTAACTATTTATGAGAATTTAGAATCTAGGAATTCTACAACAAGGTGTTCAATAGAGCTTGATTGAGGAGACTTCTATGATCAATTTGTATGTTCATTAGTGGATTTCGCATAACCAAGACCGTTCTTCTCATTGATTACCTATTCATTACGTTCGTTGTTCTTACTTAGTTCATTTATCATCATTGCTCGTGAAAACCCCCCTCGTTACTTAGGTTACTACCATCCTAGAGTATTTCCACTTAGGTTTCCAGTTATTAGTCCCTTTTTCCCTGTGGATTCGAACTCGACTTCCCTAACTACGTTTATTTGCAGTTAGCTTAGTTGTGATATTTTTGGTTGCATACGACTGAGGCACACCAAATTTTGGCGCCGTTGCCGGGGACTTAGGCGTTACCGTTTAATTGTTTATCTTAGTAGAATTTATTTTAGGATTGTTCTTAGCTATTTTTTCTTTGTTTGTTCGCTAGGGTATGATAAGTACCCGTTCTGCTAACAAAGAAGTTTTGCAGTTTGATCCAGAAATTGAAAGAAATATTTCCAGGTTGCGAAGAGAGGCAAGAACAAACCCCAGTGAATCAACATACATCTTCAACATTCAAGAAGAGGAAGTGATGGCAGAAAATCGAACACTGAGAGAGCTAACAGCTCCTAACTTGAACCAACAGCCGTTGTGCATCGCATATCAGCAGTTGGAGGAAGGTGCTAATGTTGAGATCAAATCTGGTCTAATTCATCTATTGCCGGCATTCCATGGCATGAAGGGTGAAGATCCAAATAAACATCTGGCAGAATTTCATGTGGTATGTACTAGCATGAAACCGATTGGGATGACTGATGAGCAAATTCAGTTGAGAGCATTTCCTTTTTCTCTCAAAGATGCAGCGAAGGATTGGTTTTACTATCTTCCCCCAGGGAGCATAACAAATTGGGCAGGTTTGAAGAAGTGTTTCTTAGAGAAGTATTACCCAGCCACTATTTCTGCAAGCCTTAAGAAAGCTATCAGCAATGTGGATCAGAAGGAAGATGAGTCCTTGTATGAGTATTGGGAGAGATTCAAGAGATTGTGTGCTAGTTGTCCGTACCATGGGTATTCCGATCAAGACCTCATCCTATACTTCTATGGAGGTCTAACAGATGATGATTTGAGGATGGTGAATGCAGCAAGTGGTGGAGGGCTAGTGAATAAGACTCCAGGAGATGCAACTAGGCTGATTGCAGAGCTAGCAGAGAATTCTAGGCAGTTCAGTCAGAGAACTCCCACGCGCCGGGTGAATGCAGCAAATTCAAATACAACTGAGTTAGAGAGTCAAGTAGCTGATTTGACTTCTATGATGCGTGAGTTCATGGTGAACTCAAGGAATCCACAGCAACTGAATGCTTGTGGTTTATGCACCTCCACAGGACATCCCACTGATGCATGTCCTCAATTACAAGAGGAACAGAATGAGCAGGCCAATGCAATGGGTTTCCAAGGGCAAGGTCCTCAGAGAAGATATGATCCATATTCGAATACATACAATCCAGGATGGAGGGATCATCCAAATTTGAGATATGGGAATTCCCAGGGGAACCAACAACAACAGCAAAATGCTCAAGGCCAGCAGCAATATCAGCAATATAGGGCACCATTGGCCAAACCTCAAGGCCAAAGCTCAAATTCGAATGATATGTCAACTGATGAAATGATTAGATCACTAACTTCTAATGTTTCTACTATGCAGCAAAACATGGTGCAATTCCAGCAAGAGACCAAATCCAGTATTCAGAATTTGGAAAGTCAAGTGAGTCAAATTTCAAGTGCAGTGAGCAGACTTGAAGCTAAGGATTCGGGAAAACTTCCATCTCAAACGGAGTTGAATCCTAAGCAACAAGCCAACGCTATTACATTGAGAAATGGCAAGGAGCTGAAAGAGACTGAAATTGCAACTAAGAGGGCTGAAGAGTTGATTGGAGCTGAGGAGAAGGAAGTGGAACATGAAGCTGTAGCAAATCCTCCCACTTTTCCATCTTATGAACCCACACCACCTTTTCCCGAAGCTTTGAAAGAAACAAAGAGGTATGAGAAAGACAAAGACATCTATGAAACATTCAGCAAGTGTGAGGTAAACATTCCCCTTTTGAATTTAATAAAAAGTGTTCCTCGATTTGCTAAATTTTTGAAAGAACTGTGTACTATAAAGAGGAAGCACAGGTTAGGAGGGAAGGAAAAAGTGAAAGTGAGTGCTCATGTTTCTGCAGTTTTCCAAAAGAAACTTCCTGAAAAATGTAGTGATCCTGGTATGTTTACTGTTCCAGTTACAATAGGGGACACCACTTTTCATAGAGCTATGTTGGATTTGGGTGCATCAATTAATGTTATTCCATATTCCCTGTTTAAATCTTTAAAACTTGGACCTTTACATGGAACTGGGGTAGTGATTCAGTTAGCGGATAGGTCTAATGTGTATCCTAAGGGGGTGGTGGAAGATGTGTTGGTTAAGGTTGATGGTTTGATTTTTCCTGCTGACTTTTATGTGCTTGACATGGAACATGACAAACAAGCAGTCCCCATCTTGTTAGGAAGACCTTTCTTGAAGACTGCTAAAACAAAAATCGATGTGTCTACCGGTTCCTTGACTATGGAGGTTGATGGGAAAGCAATTGGGTATAACATTTATGATTCCATAAAGTATCCTGTCAACACTCATTCTTTATGTTCTCTTAATGTTGTCGATCCAATGGTGCATGATGTTCCTAACAATCATCGTGGGGATGAGTTCCTCACACCTATAACTAATGTTGTATCTGGTGATTTCTTGGATTTCTCTATGCCTACTAATGTGCAGGTGAAGGTGGGGGAATTGAATGAACATTCCAAGCTTCCACCTATACCACCAGGTTCAACAATCGGCCCGTCTGCAATTCCGGGCAAGAAATTGTCCCATTTATACCACAAAGCAAAGAATAGGTTGTGGCATGACAAGATGATTGCTAGGAAGAAGGTTAAAGTCGGTGAAAAAGTACTCCTATATCAATCCCGACTTAGATTATTTCCGGGAAAACTTCGGTCCCGTTGGGAGGGCCCTTTTCAAGTGGTGAATGTATATCCGCATGGAGCAGTTGAAATTCAAAGCCTCGAGACCGATAAGATTTTCAAAGTCAATGGCCAAAGGCTCAAACCCTACTTCGAGGGTTTCAAAACCGAGAACGTGGAGTGCATCGATCTCTACGAGCCATCAATGGAGTAGCGAAGTGGGATGAGCCGCGTCGAGCCAACGACGTAAAACAAAGGCGCTAATCGGGAGGCAACCCGATCGAAACCTTTTCCCCATTTCTTTTCGTAGTTTGTTTTTTATTTTTTTTATTTTTTTTTTTTTGGTGATGTGAAGTGTTTCTTTTTATTGTTTTTGTGTAGGGGAGGCCTCGGGAGCGATTGTTACGCGCGAAAAGCAGCAAAACCAGCTAAAAAAAACAGACAAAGGGGAGCAAGTGCTGCTGCAACCGCTGGCAGCTGCTCTGCAGCCGCTACCAGCGGCCCTCCCAGCACCCCAGAACCCCTCTGTCTGCCTTAGCCGCTGGCAGCTGCTCCCAA